GGTCTTTCCTTCCCTTTCGTTATAATAAGTTTCATTTTCCTATTCCTTTCTTTTCGTTTTGATTCTTATCGACATGTTTTTGATCGGAAAAAAATAGAATAGCAAAACGAAAAAGATATAAGACATGAGCTTCATTTGTACGGTCCCAGGATTGATCTAACGATGTTTTATCATTCCTCTTTCCATCGATGGTATCGCAGGAACGATCTGATACCGCGTTCCTCTTATTATCATCTTGAAAACTTTGTTTTGCTTGAGCACGTGTCGTCACCGATCCGACGATCTGGTGAATTTGAGTTTGAATTGAGTGTATATCATCCGTTTGTGTAGATTGTGACGATGTACTGGTATATTCGTCTGGATCTTCTTCGAATTCATCGGTTGGAGAGCGTGATAAATAGTCTGCTATGGTATTGTCCTTGCCCTTGATGTATTTAAGTTTAAAACGATATTGCTGTAATTGTAATCGCCAACGTTCACATTTTTTATTAACTTGTGCCTTTTCATTCAGCTGTTCCAGTGGTTTATGGTCGGTTTCTACAATAAATTCCTGTCCATCCAAGTACTGATTCCATTTTTTAATTGATGATATAATTGCATAGCATTCTTGTTCAGATGTTGACCACTTTTTCTGGGTAGGAGAGAATTTCTTCGAGAGATATGCAACTGGATGATCACCTAGCGAAGATGTTTGGATTAAAACTGCACCAATACCTTCATCTGAAGCATCTGTTTGGAGCTTAAATGGGAGCACGTTATTCGGTAAACGGAATACTAAATCAGTTGTTAAAATACGTTTTAGTTCGTTAAATGCTGCTCCTTCCTCCGAAGAGAGTACGATTTTTGATGACTGAGACCGTTTGTCACGTTGTTGAGCTGTTGTAGGTGCATATTTGTATAGTGGCTCAGCAATTTGGGAAAAATGAGGTATAAATTTACGGTAATATTCAGCGGCTTTAACGAAACGAAATGCTTCCTTAGCTGTTCTTGGTGATTTTGTGTCCAATAAGCCTCGGATATTGTCCGGATTGGGCATTAGGTTACCGTCTTGGATACGATGACCGAGAAATACTATTTCCGGTTTTGCTATTTCGCACTTATCGACGTTCAATCGAAAATTTGCTTGTTCAAGTAATTGACAAACTTCTTATACGTGTGACGGGTGTTCTTTAAAGGTTTTAGAATAAATAATGATATCGTCGATATAAGCTAAGCAATGCCGCCATCGTGTTGGACCAAATATTTGATTAATAATTCGTTGAAATGTAGGAGGACCGTTCTTGACACCTTGTGGTAAAACTGTAAATTGAAAATGGTTATCGCGGGTAGAAAATGCCGTTTTCGGACGATCTTTTTTTATCGAGTGGTACTTGAAAATATCCGCTTTTAAAATCGAATTTTGTAAAATAAAGTGAATCTGATAACTGGTCGAGAATGTCATCAATTCTTGGTAATGGGTACGAATCCTTTGTTGTTATCGTATTTAATTTTCGATAATCGACGCAAAATCGAATTGAACCATCTTTCTTCTTTATCAGGACCACCGGAGATGACCACGGAGATATAGAAGGTTCTATTCTACCTTGCATGAGCAATTTATTTGTTTCTTGTATAAGGATCTCCTGATCTTTCTGTGATTGTCGATAGGGTGGTGTATAGACTGGCCGATGGTTTCCAGTGTCGATAGCATGTTGATAAGTGGTTTTGATAACTGACGATTGTCGTCCATCAAATAATTTTCCATACCTCCATAAGATAGCTTGAATCTGTTGTTTCTCCATTGGATTTTCGATATGGTCAGTTAATTGTTCGATTTGATCACGCATGTCTTCAGGATAACACGATTGGCGCAGATGAATATGTAGATCATTACCGGATAAAAACTTCTGATTACAGATATAACATTGATGATTATGCTGATTATTGAGTGGCGTACATGAAATATCTCGTACTACTCTACAGGAACGATGACCGTTCCTCTCATGATATGGTGGGCTCCAGGAACGAAAAACGTTCCTCTAACGTTCTAATGTCAGACATATAGTTGACGTAGAATTATGTGATATTGAACCTAATTTTGTGTTTCTCGATAACGTATGTTGTCGATCGCTAGCGTATGTTGTCGATCGCTAGCGTATGTTGTCGATCGCTAGCGTATGTTGTCGATCGCTAGCGTATGTTGTCGATCGCTAGCGTTAACGATAAGAATATGTGTTGTCCCGCTTTTTACCTTGAGTAATGCATTCGCCATAAATAAGGCCTTTCGTTGAAAATTACCAGTTGGTTGAAAAATACCGTCTTTGATGACATTGAGTTGCACGTTAGCTTGAACAATTGTCTCTGCGTAGGGCGGGATTGTAATTTGGTCGACTAATAACACAGGACAGTTAAGTTCGGAGTCTTCAATAAAAGGTGCGGACACTGTTCGATTACTTCCTGTTGAGATAAAAACAGATCCTTGAGACGCGTCGATTTTGACCTTATTTTGTTTTATCCAATCAGAGCCAAGTAAAATATTGGTGACCAGATTTGTGGCTACGTCTGCTCTTATGTATGTTCTGTGTGCTTGTATTTTGATCTCTAACAATACTTCTCCAATGATATTGAGTGGAGAAAAATTCGCGGATATGCGTGATTTCTGTTTGTAAATGAATCTTTTGTAATGAATCTTTTTCAAAAAATCTTGATGGATAATGGTGACTGATGATCCCGTGTCGACAATCGCATGTTGAGGGGTGTTGTTCACTTGAACTTTGATAATGATAGGGATAGAGATCGATGATGGGGATGGTGATGACTTTGTATATATTACGGGATCAACGTCATCAAATGAGCCCGTTATTGGAAAACCTGTGGACAATCCTTGACAAGATGTGTAGATTGTCCACATTTAAAACATCCGGATGATTTTCTCGAGTAACTATCGATCGTCCGATGATTGGCACGTTTGCATATCAAACATGGAGTTAATTGAGGTTTTACTTGATTTGTGTGGGGTAATAAATTTTGTACTCCATCTCGATTTTGTGAGAACGGTGGAATCTGCTGATAATATTCGGTTCGTGATACGGGAGTTCGCTGTCGGACCGAGGTTTTTTGTTGATAAGGCATCTGTTGATGGCACGATAACGATGAAGGAGGTTGGGAAACAAGTTGAGACAAATATTGACGGGAGAAGGGTCTTGATGTGACAGATGCGGTTGTGTCAGTATTATATATAAAGTAAGGTTGGGTTGCCTGGAATTTTTGTTGTTCGTCTTGTTGCAATTCATCTTCATTCCTTACTACTTTCAAAAAAATTTGTGGTGTCCACTCGTCTTCCGATATCAGTTTCATTTGTCGTTTGATTTGTGTTTTCAATTCTGTTTTAATTCCATTTTCCAAACAAGACACTATCATTTTCGTGGGCATTTTTGGATCATATTTGCTACATAATTTAACAATGGAATCATAATAATTCGTAACCGATTCGTCTGGTTGTTGTTTCCGTTCAATTAATTTCTGAAATACTTTTGATGCTGATTTCAATGGTTTAAATCGTTCGGTCATAGCGGCTTTGAGCATTGACCATGTTGTGATTATTGTTGAATTGTTTTCGTACCAACGGGCTGCTTCGGCATCCAGTTTTGATGTTGCCATACAATATAACACATACTCTTGTGCGTTGACTATGCTTCCAATGCGTTCAATATTGCTGAAAAACTGGTCGATTGTACGTGTTCCATCACCGCTAAATTTTTCCATATTGATCAAGCTTTCTTTATAATATACCATTAGTGCCTGGTCCGTCATCGTGAATGTTGTTTTGTCGGATAAAGGAATAGTGGGACTGGAGGGAGACAAGTTATTATCGAAATTAGATTGTTGCCGATCCTTCAACGAGGAACTTACGAGACGATCTCTCGAAAACAATTCTGATTTGTTTCGGGTTCGGCTTCTTGTTCCTTCCGCCGTTCTTATAACCCCAGGAATCTTGTCAACAGAAATTTCATCTTATTGGTATGAAAAAACAGAGTAAGTCTTTAGCAGACCCTATTTAAATATCACGACAATCAAATAATTATATGATAATACGATTGAATTATAATACTGGTCACCGGTGAACGATAATACAGAAATAGGACGCTTTCCTATAAGAAATTTAGTTAGCGGTACTCACGTGCTTGTGTAATTAGAAAAAATTATTTATTTTTATTTATTTTTTATTTTTATTTTTTAGATGTATCGGTTCGCTTTTTTCTGCTGTACAGAGCATGTCTTTATGTGTCCCTTCTTCGATTTTAAGGTGAAGAAGCCGGGTCACACGGCACCAAAATATAAGCGGTGTCCCTGCACTCACCTATATATGTCGTTATATATCAAGGTTTTTTATATTTTTGCTTGATTTTAATAGTATAAAACAGGAACTGTACAACAAAATGTGTCTACTGTACATGTGGAAGAAAAACAATAACGAATAATCTTTAATCTGACGCACTAAATATATATATGATGAAAAAGGAAAATGAAAACAATCTAAATATGTATGGACGAAAACTTCTTGAATATAAAGAAAGAAAAGAATGTACTGAAACATCTCTAGATGTATATGATATAACAACGAAAAAGAAAAAAAGGAAAAATGGAAGGCCTCGATTTAGAACTATTCAAATGGTATGTGTAAGGCTCTAGCCTGTAACAAATGCATAGTAGCTAGGAGCAATTATAGTGTTTCCTACCTTCACAACCTAATCCTGGACGGGAGGGAATCAGGTTTTGGACGGGTTGCAGATCCCTAATTCTTACTTGTCAAAAATAGTCATAGTCAGTGAATTAATAAAGGTGTATTCGAAAATGAATGTATAATTACAAATAGTCAAAGACCTTTTTGGACAGAGAGTATCAGGGTAAACCTTATCTTCATGCGAATGCAGTTAGATCTCGATATATCGGTGTATTAATTTCACCGCGGAAATTTGCCAAGGGTGAAACAGCGGACTCCATCGGACTCCAGTAGTATGGAGTCATGTGGAGTCAGCTGGAGTCAAGTGGAGACCTCTACAAAACTACGCAAGGCTGAACTCACTAGCCTGCTTCGTTTTGGAGCCATAGGCATTTTCCTGAGAGCCCCGATTTCGTCTAGTTGACCATGCATCACCCTAAAATGGATCAATATAGGGGTAATCGATCATAGTGAGTCGTGTGGTGATGTTTATTTTTGGTTTCAAACCGATCTAAAGTCACCATAACATGATTTTCAAACTATACGCTCTATACGCAAGAAAACGGCAGAATGCTGGAATTAAAAATCTTGATATTGTGACTTTAGATCGTTGATGCAAGGTCAACTAGCCGAAATCGGGGCTGCGTGGTGGCACTGTATTTACAAGCCTTTGGTTTTCTTGTGCTTTCCTTTGTTACGAGATGTTTTCTTGGACATAAAATAAACTTTCAACTTCAAGTTCACTTTACTCAATTTTCTACGAAACTCATCCTGTATGTCTTTGAAAGATAACATTTAATCGTTCTATTTTTTTTCGCCAAGGACATCTTTCGTGATGTAGGTATCAAAAACGTGCTTATTTTCTTTCACGGATGATTTTGCATGTTGTCTGAAAGTGAAACTGTTGTTCCATGTAGAATTAGAAGAAATCGATCCTGTAGTCAGATTGTCGAACATATACCGGGTAGACAGTCGTCTCTTTTCCTGTTTTTGATGAGATCTCCGTCGAAGATAATAAAATATGAAGCCAACAGCTAGGATGACTACGCAGAAGCCAATAACTGAGCCAATAATAACGCCATTCTTGGGAATGTCTACGACTGATGAATTTATTTGAACTAAAGGTAAGAAAATAACACGTTTTATAGTGGTGAGAATGAGTGAAAAAATAATATTAAATAGTGAATAGTGGACGCATAAAGCCAGGAAAGTCATAAAAGCTAGAAAGATCAGAAAATACTAACTGTTAGAACATATTTCAAATTTGGACATTCGTTCGTCTATGAAAAAGTTCTGGAGTTTGATTTTGCCCAGCCCTCGATGGTGTGAATGAA